CATCAAAATGGTCCTTCTCTCAAATCTCAGAAAACCTGCCTCAAATTTCTATCTCCTTCTTTTCTCCGGGTGCCACAAATTCTTCAAAGGCTTTGCTCAAATCTCATGTCATCCCCCTTCTGTTCATTATGGTATGCAGCACCCCCCAAAGGAAAAAAAAATAAAGAGGAATCAGCACTACAAATCTTACAGAATAAGGATGGAAGGTGAGACAGAGATGCAAACTGTTTACGGCAGTGGAAAAGCACTCTGTGAGTGTATGCATGTTTTGGGAGAGAGGCTATAGAGCAGAATGCAAAGCTTAAAACATTGTTTGGTAACACTCTGCCGACAACAGAATTCAAGCTGCTAGAGCAAGCCCTGCCCCCCCCCAATGAGTGACAGGTGTCATTAATCCCTAAACTGGGCTGGGCCGAGTCTGTGTTAGCGATGTGGGGAGAGACCACAGATTTAGCATGTTCTACTAATTGCTGCTTTGGACATCATCGTTCAGCTCACACAGCAAAAAACTTGCTAAAGAGGCCACTTGGTGGTTCTATTTATGTTCCTTGCTAAAAATGACTGCATTTTGCTTCTTCCCCTGATAATATTGTACCCGAGTCACCCCAGGACAGGATCTGTCCACTGACTTCTCTGAAAACAGAACGTGGACCTGTGTGTGCTACCTGTGATGGCTTTTTAAAAATGGACAATCAGACAGGTGTATCCCTCCCATCCTCTTTGCCTCCGGTAGGACTCTCTCTTCCCCTTCCCACCACACACCAGCCAGCTAGCTCATCAGGCAGCTTACTATTTCAGTTAAAAAAATAAAAGATATATAGCAGATTTTGTAAAAAGGAAAAAAGAAATGCATGCTTGCCTGCAATTCATGCGTGGCAGTGGCAAATGCTATGGAATTATCTTGCCTTTAATTAACTCAAAATGTCATTGCTTTGAAGCAAATAAATGTATGGAGTTGGGAAGCAACACCCAGCTTGAGGAAGGGAGAGGGAGGGACAGAAGGAGGGAGGGAGGGGTACAGAACATGCAGAGGAGGCTAGCGTGGAAGTAGACTCCTTCTCTTGTCCTCCACCCCTCTCTGAAGCTGCGCCTTGGAAAGCGGAAGCTAAAATCAGGAGGAGAGTCTATTTTGAAAGTCCCATCTCTCTCTCCCTGCCTCAGCCTGAGAAGAATGAAAGGCTGTTCTGTAACACAGACACATCGCCATCGGAACTAAACTAGGGAGCACCAACTGATTGATAGATAGGGCTCCTGGCACCAGGAGAGGACATATTCTTCACTGCAAAGCCCCACCCCAGATTAAATGTGCTTGTTCCAAAGCCTCCTACATTTCAGTGAAGGTTTTGCCAGTAGGGTGGGCAGAGGCAGCCTCCTACTGGAGCAGAGATGGCATAGTAGCTCTTGCTGATCATTGCAGGAACAGAAAAGCTTCTCTTTCTTCCCATCCCTTCCTTCCTTCCTTCCTTCCTTCCTCCCTTCCCTCCTTCCCTCCTTCCTTCCTTCCTTCCCTCCCCCACTCCTCACCCCTTTGTTTGTTTGTTTGTTCGTTCGCTCGTTTCTTTCTTCCTTCGTTCCTTCCTTTGTTCCTTCCTTCTATCCATCCTTCCTTCCTTCCTTCCTTCCTTCCTTCCTTCCACCCATCATCAGCTCCTTCCTTCCTTCCTTCCACTTTGGATCTGCTAACAGGAATTTAGCAGAGTTTACTAACGTTAGCCTTTCCTGGAGCATGATCACGAACGAGTCTGCAAACAGAGGTTGTAAACATTCCGAAGATCGCAGGCATCGTCTGTTCAAATCTGGCATCAAAGCCTTATTGTTTAACCATATATTTAGATGTTTCAGTCGAGACAGGGGAGGTGGTCTATTTATGAATACAAGACATGCCCAACCAACCCTCCTCTTCAAAGGGGGCAAAAGGTAGATAGGTTCTCATGGACTCCTGTTGCTTATGTGAAGATATCGCTAAGGCTAGTAATAAATATATCTTCATCAGTTCTCATTGATTATTTTTTTAAAAAGAATTTTGCTGTAAGATCTCAAGATTGGCCTAAAAGACTCTGAAAGAACTTGATCAGGAACTACAGTAGTTGTGCCTAGTTTCTTGTGAGTATGTAGCAGGCAGAGAAATGGTAAGACCGATGCAGGGTCAGGCAACACTGTTTTTGCCCAGGTAGTAAGTAGCCTACCTGGCCAGCAAAAGCCAAAATGGTTTTCCTGTTGATTAAGACTGGCTATTTAAAGCCAGATACTTTGAGATACTTGTTTTGAAGCCCAAGTTTGGAAATGTATTCATTCCTCTCCTTCTTGCATCTGAAGTTGACAGTTTAAGCTAACTCTAAAATGTATTAATAGTCTACTTCTGAAAGGCAAAGCACTTTCAAAAATGTGTGATTTTGTGACATTTTCATGAGAAGGAAGGAAGGAAGGAAAGAAGGAAGGAAGGGGAAGACAGAGGGAAGGAAGCAAGGCAGGCAGGCAGGCAGGCAGGAAGGCAGGAAGGCAGGAAGGAAGGAAGGAAGGAAGGACATGCATTTCTCTAGGGATTTTTCCTAAAGTAGTGAAAAAAGAGAAATACAATAAATAAAAAATATAACATTCCATCACATGGGATGAATACCAGAGCAATGTGTTAACAGCCTGTAATCTAACTAGTCTTGGCACTGCTGATTCAATCTATTCCACCACCACCCCAATAAAAATGGCTGCTCCACAGGCTGGTTCCCAGACAACATAAGTCAGCATAAGAAATAAATAAAAATTAGCGGAGCAAAAAGGTAAGCATTAATTTCCTGCAGTAAAAATAAGATCTTCCCGGCAGGTATCAATGATCTGATGGAATACCACTGCATTTACTGTGCACATGGACCAGCAAGGAAAGGAGAAAGAGCTTTCTCATAAGTATTTATCATTTCCCACACTGGAAAATCAGCTGCAGGAATTCAACAACAGTGGTTCTCTTCTCCTCAATTAAAGACCCTTCACCAATTTACCTCCTCCCCAGAAAGCCCTAAAGGAGGCTAATCCTCACAGCTCCATTCTTTACTAGTAAAATCCGTGTACACTGTCATATAGGCATATGTCATCAGTTCTCCAAGACAGCTACAGTGTGAAACTTTGAATGCATATGAGGATGGATGATTTTCCTTAACATTTCTGCCTTCTGTACTATACTACTTGGTATAGGTATCTATCACAGAATGAATTCAGTATGTGCTTTTCACACCACGTTCAGCATGTATTTTGCTCACCAAAAATGCAGAAGAAATTTCATCCATCGACTGAGGTGCCTTGCTTTACCATAAGGGTTAGAAGATTTTGCAGGGGGGGGGTCTCTAAGCAACTGGGAACACGTGGTGCGCCCTGTTAGGCATGCAGGGAGAGCTGTCTTCTCCATAGTGGGGCAAGGAAAAGATATGAGGAAAGAGAAGAGCTATTCCACAGATGGACCCTCATGTCGAACAAGCAAAGAAGCACTCAGGAGCCACAACATGTCTTTTCTTCTGCTCTGAGGGAAAGGAGAACTTGCTTTTGCAAAAGATGTGTCTATGTGTTGCTCCTTGGTAGACTTCCTTGGATAACAAAGCTCCATTTATATCACATGTGTTTCCACTAAGCAGTGGGGGCAATATTACTTAGAGAGCAGACAGTAACAAAAGAAACAGATTCAAAAGGAGAGGTGGGGAAAGGGGGAAGGTCAAAAATGAAAGAAGCTGAATGAGTGTAAGTGTGCACGTGAGCAAGAAGAAGGGTTGAGATAAATAGGAAGCAAAGGCGCCATATTGAATCAAAGGAGATACAATGCGTGCAAAGGGAGACATGACATGAAAACAGACTTCATGTCAAAACATATAGTCATGATAAGGACTGGGGGATTCAACCATTTTTGGAATATATTTAGGTGAAACTTTACGGAGCATCAAAATGTAGAACCAAGCAGAAACATTCATAGATCTCCAGCTGATAAAGCTGCTCTAAGGAATTCTTTCTATCCGTTGAGGAGGTCCTGTGGAAGATCTCACACACAGTCGCCAGCTACAATGCTCCCAGAGCCTTTTTCGGTGAAAACCAGGGAGTTAAATCAGCATACTCTACAGGCATAACCCAGGAGCTAGAAAATAATTTCCTCATCCCACTTTCAAAGTGCATTCTATCATCCTTTCTCAACTGTTCTTTAGAATATCAAGCATGTGTTATGTATTGCTGTTTATTCATTTCCTCCTCCCTTCCTGATGAAAACCTGTACTTGCTCTTAAGAAAGAGACAGAGGTTCTTAAAAATACATGGAGACTCAAGCTGGCAATCAATAGATCTCCTTCTGCACCAACAGGCCTTGAGCCTCCTCACTCATAGGACCAGCAGCAACAACAACAAAGGAGGAAAAAAGAAATACAAATGCTGTAGTTTTATTTATTTATTTTCCTCCCAAGGATAGTCTATCAACAGGCCACAAGGTTCCTTATTACACATTTCTGTCCAGTCCTGACCATATACATGCTCAGTCTAGTGTTAAGAAGTTGAGCCTCCAGGCTTAGGCAGTTTTATATACACATCCCTTTCTCAAGCCTGTTGTTTGTTTGCTTGCTCATATGTTATCTGCCTCTTCTGTTGGTGGTGTGGGTGGAAAAAGCCAACAATCTAAAGGTTAATGGTTTAAAGTATTACCCACTGGTTAGCTGGGACATCCACTTATTTCAGGCAGGTATTTAGAAAATCATGTGCTTGTTTATTTAATATAGCTAAAAAAATTGCCCAAATGGTTCTTTGATGAAGCATGGAAA